ATAGCCGGATAAAAATGTCATATTCAGGTATAAGTGTGTGTGTTGCACCTCCTACAATTACATATCTTTACGAACAGTTTGTTGTGGCTCTTCTCCGAACGGCGTCCTTAATAATAATATTATGTGGCGGCCATAAAATATCCTTACGGCTACGGGGCTCAGTTATATTAAAAATATGCCGGCTCCGTATAACGAAACAAATGCTCTAACAGGGTCTCAGCAATATGTTACTTGCGGACCTGTTTCTGTGACTGTGCCTCACCGCCGACCGTATGATGATGTATCCCTCGGCTGGGACTCACGAGCAGCAGCTACCGCATCTCCTGCAACTTCCTCCAATTAATTTGCTCGTGAGTCCCAGGCACCTGGATTAGCCCTACCCCCCCCCCCCCCCCCCCCCCATCTGTGCCGCGTGTAGTGGCGCAGGGGATATGCTCGGCGGTGAGTTTAATCGCGTTTTGTGCATGCTGAAAAGTGTGAGGATACAGGTCGGCAGGTCTGACATCTACCGCTGCTAAATCCTCAATCGGACGAACAGTATTGCTAATCTGCGTGGGAGCGCGTAGTCTGCCCGCTATATTGCTTTCATCGTCTGTAATGTCTCAAAATTGTCAATAGTCGCTAGTATCATCTGCAGAAACGCTCAAAATTGTCAGCAGTCGCTTTTATCGTCTGCAATGTTGCGTCTGTTGAAATTGTCAAATAATCCTAGTTTTGCCGCGATTTTGTTCCTTGTCAGAAAGTAAGCATTTGAGCTCCGTAAGGATATTTTATGGCCGCCATAATATTAGGATGCCGTTTGGAGGAGAGCCATATTTTTATTTATGTAGTGAGTTACTACATAAATAAAAATATGGCTCTCCTCCAAACGGCATCCTAATATTATGGCGGCCATAAAATATCCTTACACTTTAGTGAACCTTAGATTTTCAAAATTATTTTTTACTTATAAAACCAGTACAGCAGGATGAAACTAGCAAGCTCCTTAGTTAATTTGCACAGGTACTTCGTGTGGGTTCTTTTCTTGGGCTCAGTTGTTGCGGATGAAAACAAATAGATCCACAATCCCTAAAAATTGATGTTTCCTCTGAAGTCAGAGTGCATCTGCCTGAGAGACGAGGAACCATCAGTCAAAAATAAGTCAGGTCTGTAAAAAGGATGTGCACACATAGCTTAAATTCTAGTCGTAGACTGAAGTTTAAATGTTGATGAATGAACAGCCAGAATTTTCCGCTGGAGTTGACAACTAGTGAATGCTCAAATGAAGAAGATTTGCAGGTGCCCAAGGGGACTATCATTAGGTGCCTTGCCGACTGGCATGGGTGATCAGGCCTCTCCACAATCTGCGATCACCTGCAGCATGTATCAGTTTGTGTGCTGACACACCTCCATGCCATGCAATAAGACTTTCAAGAATCTTCTGTCCTTGTCTTTCTCTATCCCTCCTTCCACAGATCTTTCCAGTGGTCACATGTTCCATTTTCCCTCTTCTCATAACATTGCCGAAAAATGATGTCTCCTTCTGATGTCTGTGATAAGTTATCTTCGAGCCCCTGCCTCTTTCAAAACCTCTTGGTTGATCTTTTTGGCTGTCCAAGGTATTCTAAGCATTCTTCTGTAAAACCACATCTCTGACTACTCTGAGGCCTCTAAAAATTGTTTGGCCTGCCTACCGATTGTCCAGGATTCACAGCCATATGTTAAAACTGGATGTATGTAGCAAGCAAGAATTCTTTTCTAATTCTCAGTGACAAGATATATTGCATAAGGTGTTCTTCATTGTATAAAATGCAGATTTTGCCTGTCCTATTCTGTTTCTTATCTCGGTGATGCATCTTCCATCTGATGTTATCCATGTGCCCAGATACTTACATTTCTGTTCTTGTCCCAAAATAACCTCATCGACTTTTATAACACATTTAGGAATGATTCTTTTCTTTGATACCACCATTACTTCTGTCTTCCCATTATTCAAGCTGAGGCCAATTCTTCCACTTTCCAACACCACAATGTCTCTCATTTTCTGTAGTTCTTTCTGACTTGTTGCTATCAAGACTGTGTCATCAGCATAACTTAAATTGTTTATATTGTGCCCACCAACCACAATTTCGGGCATATCAATTAAAGATCTCATTATATATTCACTGTATAATGAAAACAAATCTGATGACAGTACACATCCTTGTTGTACGCCCCTCTTTATGCCCTGAAATGTACTTAAACAGGTGTTAATTCTTATAGCTGCTGTTTGCTGCCAATACATATTCATTATTCGTAGATCTTTTCCATCAATGTTTAATTTTTATAAAAGTTTTATTACTTCTTCATGCCTCACACAGTCAAATGCTTTTGTATAGTCCATGAAGCATAAGTACAAATCAGTCTCAACTTCTATCGCTCTTTCTGACAATGTCCTTAGGATGTATATAGCATTGTTTGTACGTTTTTCTTCTACAAATCCACTTTGTTAATTGCTGATCTGGTTTAATTTTGATTCCTATTCTTCTCATAATTTTTCTCAGTAAAATCTTAGTCATGTGACTCATAAGACTTATTGTACTATGGTCTTCACATTTTAAAGTGCCTAGTTTCTTTGGCAGAGCTATAAATATTGATTTTAAAAGGTCATTTGGAATATACCGACTATTATTAATATCATTTAAAAGTTGTTATTATTTCAATTCCAAAATCTCCCAGTGCTTCGATTTATTTCAGTGAGATGTTGTCTGGCCCGAGTGCTTTTCCTTTCTTCATATGATGTATTGCATCCTCAACTTCTGCAGTCATTATTGGTGGACCATCATTGTTGGTCTGCCGTTCTACATCTGGTCTGTTATCATCATACAAGTCCCCTATATATACTCTGTCCATCTGTTAATTATATTACTATGTCCCATTAATAAGTCACCATCTTTTGATTTTAAACATCCAGTGCCGTTACATGTTATTTTTTCTGTTAACAACATATTTATCTGTTGTAAATGGAATGGAAAGGGGACTATAAACACTATAAAAAAATTATTGAATTTTTTTAACTGCTAATTTTTACAAAAGTGGCCATTAAGGGAGCCAGACATTATTAGTATGCACTGACTAAAGTTTAAAAAAAAATTATTGCAACATGACACTTTCAGCTTTAGCTGGGATTTACACAAAGGGGCTGGCCAGTCACTTATCTCACGAGTCTAAAAAACGTTGCTGTCCTTATCAGGATGTTGCAGAACCAACCCCAGCATTTTTTAGCTGTTGTGATTTTTCTAGGTGAATTTTACGTTCGGTAATTTGCCATTACTTTCTGAATGGTCAGGTCTTGGTACCACTGTCGAAACCAGGGCAGCACAAATAATTAATCTGCAGTTGGGATTGAATCCAGCATCCCAGCATTATGAAGCAAGTTCATAATTCCTAAACAACAAATGGCTACATATGAGTCTACACGAGTTGAAAATGAGGAACCTACTGAATATATAATAATTTGTTCTACACACACTTGAATCCTCACATTATTCATGCATTGTGCTGAAATTCTCACAGGCTTTTTATCTGCACCTGCTACGGGCTGCACATCAACTGGTACAGCTCATTTTTGTACATAAGTACACAACCAGCACACTGAATGATGTTAATTCTTGTCCTCAGATTACCCGTACAGTTCTGCAAGTTCTGGTTATGGCTCCTATCACCAGCCGTATGAATCACGACCATACAGCAGCAGCAGTGATCAGTATGGCCAGTACAGCTATACATCTGCATCATCATCACAATCACTGGATCAGTATGCTCAACCTCCAGGTAAAACAGTTTCTACACTGCTGTTTATCAGCCGAGTGTACTGTCATTTTCCTTGTGAAAAAATTAATTTGTAAACAACTTCTGTGCTGTTTTATCACTGAAACATCTTGTAGACATTATTAATACCTTCCACGCTGCTGTTTGTCACTCTAATATAGTGTCTGTTTTCTTGTAAAATTGTTACACAACTTCCATACTATTTATCACAGGAACGTCCTCTTGTAAGCATTTGTACATAACTTTCACATTGCTGTTGGTCAGTTGGTTTTTGTGTGTGTTTTATGGGGTAAAAATATTTGTATTTTTGTCTCCTTATATACAACAAATCAGGAGAGTACACATATTTAGAAAATATAGATGAATCCCTAGTGAAGTAGATTTACAGAAGAATATGTTCTAAAATAAGAGTCATAAACTGAGGTATGTGCTTAGACACATTCGACTGCAGATTGTCTTGCAACCACTGGATACATCAGTAATTAATTACAAATTGGGTTATTCAGCTGGACAGGGTTTCTAGTTTTTGCTGCTGTTGGATTTTTATCTAAATTATGGACTTTTTTGTCACTGAGTTTTATTCTTTTAGACTGCAATCCTAGAAAAATAAAAATTTAAATACACAATAAAAAGCAAAGGACCCTTTCCATGCCAGTGGTATGCTAGACCCATATTTTTTAATAGACAAATCAGCACTTGATGGGGCAAGTGGTAAATGCCATATAAGCTTTCTTTACTTCCCATGACATTTCCCTATACCCAGTTTAGGCTGAGTTGACCGAGAAGCCAAGATCAGTTATTTAAAAAGAAAATAAATTTAAAACTTAAGGATTTGAAGCCAAGACTTTTTGGCTGTCAGATGAGCATCTAGTCACTGCTGTATGCAGCTCATGGAAATAATAATCTAACATTGCAGAGGGCTTAGACAGGCTAAGAAATAGGAGAGTTCATGACAAACAAGTGTAAAAGGTGTCCGATGAAATATTTATGCCACATTATAAAACTTGTGGCATTTTGTCAAATCAAAGACCTTTCTGTATACCTTTTCCCCCTTCAATCTTCAGGGTCTACAGACTATACAGGATACAGCAGCACAACAGGCACTGGTTACTCATCTGCACCTGCTACAGGCTACACAACAAGTGGTACAGGTTACACATCACCTGCTGTAGACTACACAACTACTACAGGCTACACATCACCTGCTGTAGACTACACAACTGCTACAGGCTACACAGCCTCAGCTGCTGTTGACTACACATCCTCAACTGCTACAGGCTATGCATCCCCAGCAGCTGTGGACTACACATCCCCACCTGCTACTGGCTACTCTGATTCCACAAGTAGCTATGCATCTTATCAGTACAGCCAGGATACTGCAAAAATCAACAATTTTGCATATACTTCAGAGCCAACTGATACAACCTCAGAAGCATTCTCCACAGCCCATTATGTTAGCACAGCACCCCAAAGTGAAACACCTATACAGCCAGCTTCAAGCTTTGATTCATACCAGTATCAGTCGAGTAATTACAGTCAAAACTCCCACCCGTATGGGCAGAATAGTACTGCATCAGGCTATGCCAGGTCTTACAGTCAAGGTAACAGTGACTACTCTTATCAAGATGAGCAGAGTCAGCCAGCAAACACATGGACAACTAACGACCAGTACAGTTCCTATTCCCATAATTATTACCAGCAGAGCCCTGCTACCACCGATTATATTCAGAAAGAGGAAACTGGGACAGGGAATCTGAATTATTCTGTTTCCTTGGATACATATTCTATGGATAAAAATAATATTGAAAGTGGTGTTGTTGGTAGTTCTTTGGGAGGATCATCTACCATTGGTCTTGGTAGCACTTCTGCCACTGGAGTTGGTAGTGGTTATTCTCAAACTGAGATATACTCAAATACAGACAACCATAGTAATAGCTATCAGAGCTATGTTAAACCTGCCAGTAGTGAATTAAGTAAACCCCAGTATAGCTTTGGGGGATACAGTGGTCCTGCACAATTTAATAAAGGATTGGACAGTACTACGGGATACACTCCAGGGAATTACAATAATGATAGAACAGGTCCAAGGAAACTACGGTAAAAAAAATTACAGCAGTGGCCAAACTGAACCAAAGAACGTTGGTGTCACATCCTATAGTTCAGATTATTATAGCAGCAGTCGAGGAAGAGGTACCGAGCACAGTAATTTCCAAGGAGGGGATAAGGATAGTTTTCGAAGAGTGGTTAGCAATAGCTTTTCTGCAGCTCAGGAAACCACAGCTCCTCCAACCCAGACAGCAACACCAGAGAGAGGCTATAATAGTCAGAGGGGTGGTGGATCCTTTTCAAACAACCATGGTTCATATCGGGGTGGCGTCGGTAGTTTGTCAACTAGGGGATCTTCCTTTTCAAAAAGGGGATCCTTCTCTTCAGATAGAGGCTCTTCCTTTTCTGCTGGAACATCTGCCTTTTCAAATAGGGAAACATTCTCTTCAGACAGAGGAACTTCCTTTTCGGCTAGGGGATCTTCTTCAGATAGAGGAACTTCTTTTTCAGCTAGGGGAGCTTCCACTTCAGATAGAGGAACTTCTTTTTCAGCTAGGGGAGCTTCCACTTCAGATAGAGGAACTTCTTTTTCAGCTAGGGGAACTTCCTATTCAGATAGAGGATCTTCCTTTTCTGTTAGGGGATCTTCCTTTTCACCTAGGGGAGCTTCCACTTCAGATAGAGGATCTAAATTTTCTGCTAGGGGTTCATCCTTTTCATCTAGGGGAGCTTCCTCTTCAGATAGAGGATCTTCATTTTCAGCTAGGGATTTATCCTTTTCTGCTAGAGGATCTTCCTTTTCTGCTAACCGTGATGATCAACACAGCACAGTTTCCAAACCTTCTGTTGCACCATTTGATGCTAGAAATAAAATTAATGAAGCTAGGAGTACAAACTTGGCACAAGGAAAGCCAGCAGTGAACATACCACCATCCAGTCAGAATAAAATGACACTTCCTGAATTAAAGCCACAGGAGACTGTTAAAAAAGAAGTGTTAAAGGCATCTGCAAGGGAGACTGTTAAAAAAGAGGTATTCAAGGCACCTGCAAGACCTCAAGATAGGCTGCTTAATGAAATAGAGGAAAAAGAAAAGGCCCAGAAAGCAGAAGAGCTGAAAAAATCTGAAGAGGCTCGGAAGAAAGCCGAAGAGGAGCAGAAGAAAGCTGAAGAAGGACGACTGAAAGCTTTAGCTCAACAGAAAAAACAAGCAGAGGAGGAATTGAGGAAAAAAGTAGCAGAAGAAGCTGTTAAAGCAGCACCACCAAGTAAACCCCCTCAGACAGCTGAAGAAATTGCTCATGAGGAGGAAATTCAGAGAAAGATCCGTGAGTCTGTTGTCATCATTAGTCCAGAACAAGAGCTTGCTCTGTTGAAAGATGACCCTAGCAAAGAGGTTGAGATGCCAGAAGAGCTCCGCAAGCTTTTGAAAACCTTGACGACAGATTATCTTTGCAAACTATGCAGTGTCAGGATTGCTGGCCCCCAAATGGGCACCATGCACTATAATGGGAAAAATCATCTGAAGAAATTGCGCAACTTTGTCCAAACCAATGGGCGTTCTGCCGGTTTCAACTTGGATACTTTGGAGAAATCTAAGAAAGAGGAACCAAAAGAAGTGACACCTGGGGAAAAGAAAGCAGAAATTGTGGAAGTAACGGTAACAAAGACTGCTTATCATTGGCGGTCAGGTCAAGGATGAGAGGTCATAGTCTTAAGCAACTGAAGAAGAAATTAGATTCTGGCAGCATACTGTTGCAGCTTCCATAGTTTCTAGTGCCTATATTATTCATTCATTTGCCAAGACTATGGCCTGTCATTTCTCGTCTTGTGTGATGTACATGGATGAATGAGATGTAGGAATGATCATACATTGCTTCTTGGAAAATGAGCTTCAGGGTTCGGTTGTCTTTAAATTAATGTTTTGATCTTAGAATCTGATTCCCTAATTGTTTCATATTCCAGTAGGCATTTATACTGATCAATTCTTAAATCTTGCTTTAATTGCACTTCTTATCATATAATGATATAGAATAATTATGTACTTTGGTAACAACTGTTATTTATACCCAGTTATTAAGTGAAAGATAGCTCATTTTTGGTCTGTCAATATTCAACAAAGACTGATTTGTCAGTATTCACCGAAGATTGGTTTGTCAGTATTCACTGAAGATCTACTGGAGGACCTCCTAAACCGCCTTGTGGAGTCAGGAGACGGCGGAGGATAGCTACTGACCAAAACCAGTTAGACAGTATTCACTGAAGATTGGAATGTGAACAATCACTGAAAATTGGTCTGTCAGTATATTAGGCTGTCAGTATTCACTGGTGTTGTTAGCCTGTCAGTTATTTTTTGATAAGAACTCTTGGTAACTTTTGGAATTATGAGACAATATTCTGGTACTGTTCTTTGATCTTGGTTAAAACTCTTGCTTCTCTGTTGTTGCTTTTGCAAGATAAATGATACAGTACTTCATAGTCAGACCAATGGATTCAATTAGTATAGACGTCATGTCTTCAGTTCTTACATTTACATTCATATTTTGATCAAATCTAGTCATGTTTTAACTAAAGTAAACACACAATCCAGTAAATTGTAAAAAATCTTAAATATACTTTAACACCAGCATGTAGAAAAGTCAACTATTGCCTATTGTCTGTTAGTATAATCAGAAGATGTAGAGAGCAGAAATAATTAGGTGTATGACATAAAACCAGCCAGTCTTGCTAGCAGTGTTCTGAATAGTGTCTTTAACAATGACACTTGAACTAGGCAACAATTTGGTTTCTCCATTTATGTTAGTAATTATCACATTTGATCAGGATGCTGTTTCAGCCAGGCGGTTTGTGGTATGAAATGTGTGTAGCTCTCTAAAGCTTGTTTGCGCAGCTTACAGTTATTTTCTTTCATATTATGTTGGTATCATACTCCAAATTGTGCTCACTTCGTTGTTAATACAAATGCCCCCCCCCCCCTCCCCCGAGTGTTAAAAGAACCAGATCTACAGTTTATTCAGAACATCAAACTCGACTTTAAAACAATAGTTAATTCAACAATCTGATGTTTTACATAACTACATTAGATTATTAGGTTATTAGGGGAATTAGTAGTCTGGAAGTGATTACATGAGTTATCTGGACATCATGTGGGTAAACTGAAGTATTTAGGATTTGGTGACATTGACAGTTTTGAAATGATTATGTACACAAACTTTTGAGCATTATTGATAGATGTTTCAGAATATTTTTTTAGATGTTGTTTCCTAAACAGTCATGGATGACATGATATGGAAAGTAGGCTTTTGGACAAGGATCTACAGTACCTTACTTTGAGATGATGTGTCTCAGAGTAGCCGTATATTGTGTTTTGGGATGTCTTTTGAAACAGCTGCTGCTGGTATATAACTACTAGGGCTGTACCGAATAGTGATTTTCACTATTCTGCTGAACACGAATAACGGGACCAATTATTCGGCCGAATACGAATAGTGTATCATCATCATCAGGTGCCTTGCCGACTGGCGTGGGCGATTATGCCTTGCCACAATCTGCAATCTCCTGCAGCATGTATTAGTTTGTGTGCCGACACACCTCCATGCCGTGCAACAAGATTGTCAAGAATCTTCTCTCGTTGTCTTCCTCTATCCTTCCTTCCAAAGATCTTTCCAGTGGTCACCACATGTTCCATTTTCCTACTTCTCATAACATGGCCGCAAAAAAAAGACTGTCTCCTTCTGGTGTCTGTGATTAGTTGTCTTTGGGCTCCCGCCTCTTTCAAAAGCTCTTGGTTGCTTTTTTTGGCTGTCCAAGGTATTTTAAGCATTGTTCTGTAAAACCAATCTCTGAGACCTGAATAAATTGTTTATTTTTAGCACGCTGCTGTTGGCATTTTATGCACTATAATACACTTTGAGTGTGAAACAAGGAAAAAAATCTTTTCGGCAGTGGCGAGGATGACAATTTAAATTTTAACTTTTAAGTATCTTTATGCCTTCTTTAATGATGTCACAATTTATAGCCGACTTTTTTTATTTTCGCCGTGGCACCCCTGGCATATGCACCCAGTTTGAGAATCACTGCTGTAATGCCTTGGTCGAGTCAGCAGGCAAAGAGCTTGCCAGCTGCCGTTCCACGCAACGGGGTTGCAGTTTTCCCCGCTACGACAGACTTAGGCAACAGCAACTATTGTGTTAATGAGAGAGTTATTTGTCCATTTCAGTGTATGCAGAAACAGGTGTAAGGTAACCACTATTCGTATTCGGCCCGACCGTACGTAGTCGGCTGAATATTGAATAGTTATTAGGTCCACTATTCGGCACCGAAGCGAATATTCTGTACAGCCCTAATAACTACATTAGATTTTTTTTTATAAGTAATGAACAGGCCTCAGATGAACCTTTAAACAACCATAAGTGTTAGAAACAGGGGTCATTTATGTTGTCTCTTGATAGGTCTTATGGGTAAAATAGTTGGACTTCAGTAAGTTTGATTTACGAAGTCTTGTAATAGATATGCAGCTGTGGTAATACATGAAAGCAGAATAGTTTCAAGGGACATCTCAATGCACAATCTACTGTTAGTTGACAAACCTAGATCAATGAATGTGTAATGTTGGAATTGACAAACATTGAATATGTAACTTGTTTACTAATAGGACAAAAATAAAAATACAGAGTGGGAGAGGTATTTGCTTACAGAAGAACTAACACTGTTTTCAAGAGTTAATAGTTCTTCAAATCTTTTAGTCAGACAGTTTTAACTTCAGTACTTTCTATCTTACTGATTGAACACTGTAGAGTGACAGTACCTGTCTCATGTTTGTTCATAATAAGCTAACAATACACTGATGAGTAGGATGAGTTAAAGTAACTACTGAGAGCTTCATGTTAAAGAAGAATGAGCCATCAGACGTTGTGAAAGTATACTCTGTGTAATGTAATACATTGGATTGCTTTTGACTGAAAGAGTTATGAAAACTAAATAGGCACAGTACAGTGAGTAGGAAACTCAGGAAAGGAAAGACATACACAGTTATTTGTGTTTGTGTATCTTTCCCTTCCTTTGTGGAATGTCCTAATCATTCCTGTGTCCATTTTAGTGTTTGCTATCACTACTCACCCACATTTTTCGTACCATTATACTTGTTCACATCACTCCTCCCTCCCCACCTCCAAGATACAAAGATGTCTATACTGGTTGTGCTCCCACACATGCTGTCCTTGTTCATCCTCACTCCTACAGTGTCATGACTTTACCAGTCCGGTTTCATTGGCTCAGCTGCTATTGTGTAGAAAACTATCTGCTGCTACAACAGACACACAGCGGTCATGTTTGTTTATATCTGTAATGAAAATCGAGCTTTCACATGTTAACTATTTAAAGATAACTTCAAAAAGGAAACATTCTGAGCACTGAAGTATCTTGTATATGAAAACTACTTAGGTAACATTAAAATAACCTGCATGCATATCTAAGGGAGACTAAACATGTATCGTAAGTTTAATAATGACATTTCTTAGAAATGCTAGATATATTATTTAAAGGTTTGCTGTTTTGATAATCGGTAGAAATGGTACAAGTTAACAGTCTTTTTTCATTAAGTTTATCTGCAATCTTAGCAACAGGAACATGTTCTAACTTGTGTAATGTTAGCAACATAAAGGACATACAGTGCAATTAAGTGCAGTTAATTTGTGGTGCACATAGACACATTGCTGCTCCAATGTTATAATTAACTAAATTGAACAATTCAAGTTGTTTGTCGATGATTCATCTGGATAAGCCATAAGCACCAATAGTGTTACTTTAAAGAAGGATAAATTATTGTGTAGAATAGAATACTGAAGTATTTTATAAACATAATTAATTATTGTATGGACTAAGAAACTGCAGTACATTCTATACTCAATAATTATTGTGTAGACTAGAATACTGCACAGGGTTCGTAGTGGACCGGGAAATCGGGAAATTACCGGGATTTTTTTCGTTGACCTTGAACCGGGATTTTTAGCTTATAAAAGACATTCCGACCTTAAAAACCCGTGAATTTTGACCGCGGCAATGAAATCGTCAGAAATCCTGTGTTTTTCAGCACAGGCAATTTTGGGGAAGCCATTTGGCTTTTTTGGCCATTTGGCTAGTTTTTGGCTACTTTCGTTGTATGGTCGTTTCAGGTGTGAGATCAGCTGATTATTGGCTATTTTCAGCCGAAATGGCTTGTTAAAGGCCAGGGGAGGGCGGGCTTTGTTGCTGATCATGAAAACATGCAGACAGCAGCGGTGTGGCATGGGGCGGGAAGTAGCAGCTTCCGTCTCGCGCGCGCGTGTGCCTTTGTTTCTAGCGAGTCCGGCAGAATGAACAGTTTAAATCGTTTATGGCCGTGGTTTCTAGAAAGGATTACAATGGGAGATGGTGGGGCTCGGTTCAGTTGTATTTATAAATAGAGTCGCCGTGGTGGGGGCTAAGCACGGCCTTCTCTATTAATTAGAGAAGCTAAGCAAAGTGACTGCAGCTGGATTTCCCAGTTCTATTTTTGGCCTGAATTGAATTTATCTTTACAGTGTGTTTGGCGATCAGTATTGAAATTCCCCGAGATTCCCTCTTCTGTTGTCTCACCCCTCTCTCTCTCTTCCCTCCCTCTTTCACTCTTCTACCTATTGC